AAGTGTCCCTTTACTCTTTCTTATCCCGATTTTTATGCCCTTTGCCTGGTGCATGAATACACACTGAGACATAATAATATGCACACACTCTTTCTATTTTCTCCTCTTTCTTTCTTTCTTTTCTCTTTTTTTTCAATCTAATCGATTTTTTCATTTTCTTAATTTTCTTTTCTTATTTGTTTATTCTAATTCTTTTCCCCTCTCTTTTGAATACTTTAATCTGTATGAGGTCGATGAGTTAAAGAAATAAATAACTCCCACGCATCTGCAGTCAATTATATATATATATATATATATATATATATATATATAAAGTATTCACTTTATACAGGTTCTCCGTATCAGGCTGAAAGTCCTGGACTGCTGTAACGAAAGGAAAGAAAATCAGCAAATTAGAACAGGTTTGTAATGTTTTAATGTTGGCATTCTTCTATTAACATTTTACTTACATTTTGTCATTTATGATCATCCATACTTTGTGTCACCCAAGACTAATAAATTTAAGCGGACTTTATTCACTTGGATAAGAAAATCTAAAGTCATAGCGTAATATTTCTTGTCGTTTTTCGTCATCCATATTGTGAATTGTGGTATGGTAGTCTAAAAACATCGCATGGTGGCTGTTGTGTAACAAGCTAACGCACATTGTGTGCGTTGTATATATGTAATGGCATCCCAAATTTTCAGGAACCTTTTCTTTAAAAGCAGGTAATGTTTAGGAACTTATTCTTGCTTATTTTCATTTAAATGTGAGAATGGAAACAAATCATTTTATAGTATTACAAAGAATTAAACTATTTTGATAATTCAATAGAAAACATTTATTTATTAAGATATTTCCAGATTTAAAATTCTGTTCTCTTCATATTTTTGTTCAGAAGTATGATGCTTTTTTTGTTTTAATTCTAGTGTCATGTTGTAGAGTAGTTTTCACAGTGGAGGCTTGTATTTCGCTAAGTCGGTCCTAAAAGGGCCCGACGTACAAAACGTTAGGAACTTGAAATAAGAGTTAATGACGCAGCAATCTAGTTGTGATGGTTGATACTTCAATGTCCGGCATCGACTGACTCACTCAACGCCACTGAACCCAACTGGCGACTACTACTACTTATTATGTGTGGGAGAGTCTATTACAATAGAATAGGTAATGTTCTGGTATAACATGTCATCAGCTGTGTTATGGTTTCTAAGCCACATTCAAACTGAATCACTGCAGTCCCAAACATCCAATGAAAGCCCTATCAATTTTATGACTAGAAGGCTTGCGATGTTTTTAACTTTAAGAGAAGTCCTTTGTTAGCATAAATTTTGTTCCTCAGAGAAAACTGACCATATATACTGAATATATATATATATATCAATTAATTTAATTGCAAAATTAAATTCGGGGTTTTTAGCTTCTATTTTTGAAACATGGTTGGAACTGTGTAGCGAAAAAAAACCATATTTTAAATCAATTAATTTATAATATTAATGCTCTGTAAATTTACATTGAGCACTATTTTGTAAAAATAAAAATATCTATAAGAACACCGGATTTTATATCTTACTGTTCCTTCTTTATATATATATATATATATATATATATATATATATATACTGGATCAGTATTTTGAAAAAGTTCTATTAAGGTAATATTTTAAGTGGATTAAGTCAAAATTGCTGCAGTTCATCTGTATGTGATTTATGGTGAATTGCTCTTGATATGACACACATACCAGCAGTTCTTCCTTCTTTTTTTAAGTATATACTAACGGGTTACAGTAGTATATACAATAATAGCATCCCCAATTTCCAGGAGCCAGTTCTATAAAGCCAGATAATCTTTGAAAACCTTTTCTTTTACATCTGAGAATGGGAGCAAATCACTTCATAGTATTAAAAAGAATTAAACCATTTTGATAATTCCATAGAAAATTTAAATTTATTTGATATCTCCAGATTGAAATTCTGTTCTCATCATATTTCTGTTCAGGAGTTTGATGCTTTTTGACTCAAGTATCATCAGCTGTGTTATGGTTTCTTAGCAAACTTCGAACTGAATCACTGCAGTCCCAAAGATCCAATGGAAGCCCTATCAAATTTATGACTAGAAACTTGCCACATTTTTAACTTCAAGGCAATTTCTGTTTCAGAGAATAAATTATGTTCATCACTTTAACGGGGTGTAATGATTTGCAAGCTTCTCTCGCTAGAACAATTACAACTGATTAGTGATTTCGATATTAACTGAGTGCCTGATGTTTTCGGCCTTGGGCTACACCTAAAAGTTTCAAGTCCGGACCAGGGAATAATAGAATTTTTTTGTTTTCACCCCCCAATCAAAGGCGATAATGCCACTAAGACGCAAGGTGTTACGGAGAGTGAAAGAAACTAATAAAATGCTTAGTGAGGAGATAAGTGGATAAAAGAACGGGATTTAAAAATACGGAAGATGTTGATTGTTGTTGCATCCAAATTTTGGAAGATTTTAGTTGACAGAAACGCAAGAAGCCAGAAGATAATTCCACAGACGAGAAGTGCGAGAAAAGAAACTATTAGAATAGATCTTAGAAATTTTATGCATGTTAAGATACCATTCCTTCATTCGAATCAGCTAAATTCTAGACCAGACCTACACAAAATATGGCCATCGAGACATTTTCAAAATATTCAATCTTGTGTGTTCATCAGAATAAATCCAGTTACTGACTGCATACGAAAAAACTTGTTTATGTCGTAACCGAGAAAAGGACACTGAATGAGGAATAACCAAAATGGAGGTTGGAAATGAAATGGTAATCTTTATAAAATCAACAAAATGCAATACTCGCCAGCGTCGTGAAGTAGGTAAACCACTGATAGTGGCGGACTGCTTAGACAGCATATTACTCCCACTTTCAATATTGTCCAATGTATTAATGAGGATTGGGACATACCCATTAGTGTTCATAGGAACGGTATATAACAATAGTAAAAATGATTGGCAATGCATTTTTATAGTGAAAATCATTGGCAATGCATTTTTATAGTGAAAATCATTGGCAATGCATTTTTATAGTGAAAATGATTGGCAATGCATTTTTATAGTGAAAATGATTGGCAATGCATTTTTATAGTGAAAATGATTGGCAATGCATTTTTATAGTGAAAATCATTGGCAATGCATTTTTATAGTGAAAATCATTGCCAATGCATTTTTATAGTGAAAATCATTGCCAATGCATTTTTATAGTGAAAATCATTGCCAATGCATTTTTATAGTGAAAATCATTGCCAATGCATTTTTATAGTGAAAATCATTGGTAATGCATTTTTATAGTTGTTGTAACCTAGAAAGTGTTACTGTATGAGGAATAACTAAAATGGAGATTGGAAATTAAATGGTAATCTTTATAACATCAACAAAATACAATACTCGCCAGCAGCGTGAAGTAGGTAAACCACTGTTAGTAATGGACTACTTAGACAACATATTACCACCACTTACAATAGTGTCCAATGTATTTATGAGTATTGGGACATACCCATTAGTGTTTATAGATACAGTATATAACAGTATTACAGAAGCATAACTGATATATCATTGTCTTTGTTTCTAATTAATCCTTTCAACTACTGTATATCAAGAGTTTCTTGACAAAATTCAAAGAAGGGTCTGTAATGTTATCGATCCTGACCTGGCATCTCGGTTTCAGTCGATTTCATTTCGTGACGTGGCTTCCCTCTGTCTTTTCTACAAATAGTTTCATGGCAACTGCTCTGAGAAGCCTTTTTCCTTGGTGCCCAGAATACATGAATTTAAGCGTGCTACTAGATTGGCAGCTAGGTCCCACACCTTTACTGTTGAAATAGCTAAATGCAACCGTCACTTCCCACCCGTGGAAGTCCCTTCCGATTTATTTCCCTATGAAATTTTCGTGGAAAACCATCGTCCGTGCATTAAATACTGCTGCCATATCTGGTCTGGTGCTCCTGCTGTACATCTCTAGATTCTTGGTGAGATTTTTTCCCTGTTGCCCCGATGATATGAATTTAAGCATGTTACTAGATTGGCAATTAGGTCTCATTGTTTTAGCGAGATGCAACTGTCACTTATATTCTAACAGTTTCTCTTACACTTCTCACCTGTGGAACTCCATTTCCGATTTCTTGTTTCCTGACGCCTACAATCTTCAAAAATTTAAATGCAACGTCAATCACCATCTTCTGTCTTCCTGAACCCTGTTCCTTTATTGTCCTTTCCTCACTCCTTCTCGCTAAAGTCTTCGCATTCTTTTTCATTCCCTGTAATTCCCTGCATCCTAGTGGCATTATCACCTTGCTTGGGGTGAAATGATACAAAAAAGAAAAAGAAACTGTATGCAGAAAAAGAATGTTTTCTCGTCATCCACCCCTCCCTCCCTCTCTCTATCCTTTTCCTCTATCTTTTCTGCCTCCCTCCCACACTGTTTCTAATCTCTCTCTCTCTCTCTCTCTAGGAAGTGTGTGTGTGTGTGTGTGTATACTAATTCCTTGTAATAAGACATATATATATATATATATATATATATATATAGGGAATGCGTACGCATGCTGACAAAAACAAAAAAAATGGAAATAGATCTAAGAAGACACAGGTGTCATTAAAAGATAAGAATATAGATATCTTTCTCACCCTTTCTAGGACCAGTCTTAATTGTTTTATTACCTTTCGCTGCCATTTCAAGAAAAACATTTGGGTCAGTAACACACAAAAAAGAATGTCTAATATTGAGAATATTTAACATCGAAAAAAATAAGAAAATTTAGTTTCTTTTAATAATATGTGGAAATATCCATTCTTTGCCTGATGAAGGTCGCGAGACCGGAAACTCGTGTAGCAAAATTATGGAAAATAAAGCATGATATATATTTTTTAAAAAATCCACAATACAACCAAAAACATTTGCGGTTTCTCTCTTCTTTTTTATTATACACACTTTTCATTCGTTGGAACTACTATAACCTCTTCCCTTTATATATATATATATATATATATA